GTATATTAACTGTCTCGAATGACCACAAAAGGTCAAGAACGCGCTGAGTTTGGGTATATTCGAGTGAAATTATTAAGGTAACAACTTTCGGCTGATAACATTTGACCCGGGAAAACCCGCCAGCACTTACCCCTCGCGGAGTCGCTGTCTTTAAAAGTTGAATTTTCGAAAAAAGCAAAGAATAAACCCACTTCACGTCGTGTGCTATCCAATAAGAAATCAGTGAACCGTTCTTCCGCCGTAAAGCTCTGTACGGATATCTCATCGCTGAATTCAACTTCATTTGATTTATAGTTGAAAGCTGAACGACTGTCTTTGCCAGACTTTGGCTAGAATGTGGACCAGTTTTGTGGGACTTGTTACTATTCTGTTGTGTTTCCCCGCAAAAGCCGAGGTAAGTCGTGAAATGTTAAATTATACTGTTCTCATAAAGTTAAGTAGATTACAATGCTGTTTTAAGTCAGTACAAAGACTGTCATGAGCCCAAAGTGTGTTTGTATAGCAACAGACATGTTCAAGCAAATTGGTGTCGATGTTGAAAAAGTTTTCTTATTTCGTAAATTGTAACAGTCTGAAGTGCATAATAACAAATTGTAGCAATTTTAGAATCAGGATCTTCCGGCAAAACGGATCTCATGGCTAATAGGTTGTCAATTTTTTATGATGGGACTTGGCTTTAAGCCGATCTAGATTAAGAAGAATGTTCTTGAGTATGGAAGTGTCGTATTGATATGATAGCATGTTCCACACCCTGTGTGGTTAAGTATATTCTAGACTTGACTAGATACAATTCAATGTAAAGTCTCGTATCACGTTTAGAATTGTAAGACATGTATATTGCTTCAAATTATACCCAAGGCAATACATTAATTATACTATATTATGAAAGCGCTTCCTAACCATCTTGAGCTGCACTTTTGAAAAAAAATTTTAACGGTTTATTTACTGGCATCTATATCAAGACAAAGCTTTGCTAATATATTTCGTAATACAACTAACAAAACAAGCTTAAACTAGGAAACTTTATTTATGCTGCATGGACAGCTCAGCTCTATTAGTTTTAAACTGTTGTTCCAAGAGGTCCAGTTAGAGCCATTTTGTATTTATTTGCCTAGCACTTTGTTGCTAGCAGATAGAGTTGTATATTTATCAAAAGCGTTACTGTGTGCATGCAAATTGCATATTGACGTGGTCATCCATTTCCCCCTAGCGGCCTGATCCTCATTATGTAGCAATTAAACTCCAATTTTCTTCGGTTGCCAACGTGATTCTTCTTAAGAAATGTGAAGAATTTTGAACTGGTTGGTTCGAAGGATTATGTTTTAAACCGAGACTGAGTATTCTCTCTATGAAATAACAACTCTGAGTCTTGTATGAACATAATAAATACTGGTTCGACTTAAAAAAGAAAATAAAGTGAGGTCTCATCATCTCATGCCAAAACTATTTCATGACAGAGAACGTACGAGTGCCTGTCGACTTTTTGAAATACACCTACGACCGAGTTGTGTGCTTGATTTACAGTTACACAGTACCACTCAAGTTGTAAGCAGGTTGCATGCGACAGTTATATAATCAGTCTATATCTATGAATCAAATGCGATTATTTATAGTACGGTACTTATAGATTGATAGCTGATACGATTGCTGGTCAGAGAAGCGTTGAGAATTACCTATAATCCTCAAGCTAAAAATAGGACACCGTTAATGTCTTCAAACTGAAACACAAGTCGACTGATTCCCAACTTTTCATGCGAAAACAGGCATTCATTAGGAACTTTCACTGTTTGCCACTAAAAATCAACAACAAATTAATGTTCCCTGGTTCGATAATAACATTGTATTTGTTTAGCTACGTATGATATAATTATGAATTCAGTGGTGCGAACATAATAACCAAATTAGTTTAACAGAAATCGCAGTGTGATCAGTGGAGGCAATTTAATGAGAAAAGTTTATTAGAAGTACTGGTTTCACACGAGGGATCGATCATCTCGAACCGTCTATTACACTGTGCGCATTTTTCAATAACAAAAAACAGACATTCGGTACTCAAAACATTTGTGGCTCAAAAAGCCCTGGGAACTACTCTTCTCTTTTGACACAAATCAACCTCGTACCCAGGGTTTCTGCGCAGGTTGGACACAAATTTACTTAGAAATAAGTTATATCGAGCTTTTCATGGTTGGAAAATATTACTAAAGCTAAGAGCTAATACTGTAATACTATTTAATTCCATCACATCATTACTGATACATAGGATACTTACGCCCGTATTTTAAAAGCTCACTCACACTCACACTCAATGAGTGGAGGTTCAATCTGAGCTTCTCTTGAGTGTGTATGGTGCTGTTTTCGAATAGCTGGGGGATGAGTAGTCACCGAGTAAGGTATGAGACCAGAGGTATGAGACTAGCCCTCCAGCTATTCAAAAACAGCATAAACACTCAAGAGAAGCTCAGATTGAACCTCCCTCATTGAGTGTGAGTGAGCTTTTAGAATACGGGCGTAAATCTTGATAAGTTGCTATACCGGGTGGCGCAAAAAAAAGTTAACCTGTTTGATTTATTTTAACTTAAAAACTAAAAGAGCTATTACACCTAAACTACGTGCATTGCATTCAGTATTGTCTAACTTAAATTTTGATGTACGCCCTGTGCAATTTCGTACAATATTCACCGAGAGAGCTGCGTTTAAACTTGAATAAACATTTTGGGAAGTGTCGAGAATTAGCTAAAAACGGCCTGTTAAACTAATTTGATAACCCTCACCATTTTATCGTAAATATTCGTTTCAATGAAGTGAAGTTTAAATTAAAAATGTTTATAGGATGGAGGTGCTCTTTTATTTTTGTTTAAGGTCTTTGGGAATGCATGAAAATTAATTTATGAAGCGATTTTGATTAAAAGATTTATTCTAAATATCCAATGACCCTGGGGAATCAAATTCTAATGTTCCAAGAAAGAAACGTCAAGTGTTTTTTTTTTATAAATACGCCTCGTTTAACGAATGACCAAAGAGTTTTGATATGTTTAGAATATGTAAGGGTAAATAATGCTCGTGAGGTTATACCGGCGGCGTTGGGCAGGTCTCTGACAACGAACGTGTACTTTCTGACTATAGTGCGTCTAAGCACAGGTTATTGCTGTATTAAATATTTGATAGGCCGTTTTTGGCTAATTCTCGACACTTTCAAAAATGTTTACTCAAGTTTAAACGCAGCTCTCTCGGTCAATATTGCACGAAAATGCACAGGGCGTATATCAAAATTTAAGTTAGACAATACTGAATACAATGCACGTAGTTTACATGTAATAGCTCGTTTAGCTTTTAAGTTAAAACAAATCAAACAGGTTAACTTTTTTTTGCGCCACCCGGTATATATATATGTATATATGTATATATATATATATATATATATATATATATATATATATATATATATATATATATATATATATATATATATATATATACTGAATGTCATAAACATACTCGTTTATATTAATTCAGCATAGAACAATACTAGTTCTGCAAGTGTTATGTGAGTTGTGTAATTGTACACTCTGTAATATGTTAAGATGAAAATGTTCTAGAGTGTGTATTATAGAATTTCCATACCCAGCGCAAGCAGAAAGATGTTGTCTGCCGCGGCTGGGTCTTGAACCCGCGACCTTCGAATTACTAGATCGACGCTCTACCTACTGAGCTACACGGTCAGACGGATTTAAGACTGGAAATTATGAAATATATATATATATATATATATATATATATATATATATATATATATATATATATAATTAACGTTACAAATATCTTAAAATAACAATGTTTTTGCGCTACTCTGAGTTTCACGATCTTGTCTGATCGATCTTCAGGCGATTTATGTCCGTTTAATTAGTTTGTTTGATTTCGTGATTTTCGTTGACGCACGCGCTTGCGATGAAAACTTCCAGCTTGGAACCGATCTTTATGGCGACATTTTCCGAAGATTTCCGATCGTTTATTAAGTAACGTTTTCTGGTCTGCTTTCATAATGGATAGTTTCTCCTCGTTACACAGATTACATCGCGTGCTACCGGACGCGTAGGGTGTTGAATGTTTCAGAATAGACCAATTGATGGCAAAAGCCTTCCCTTTAAATTTAAGTTCCCATATATACTTCGACAGTTATAAAAACAGATCATTTTACTGTATATATATATATATATATATATATATATATATATATATATATATATATATATATATATATATATATATATATATATATATATATATATCAAAAACTGAATATTAATAGCTGTTTTGTGAAATTGAGAGCAATTTCAAATCTGTTTAGTTTTTTTTTATACACCCTGTATATAATTGTTAGTAAACAAATGCACCCCGGCCCTTCTGGGAAATTGCGTCTCCTTGGCTATAGAGCCTCGTTTTCATGATTGGGACGTTAGATATTAACTATTAGTATAAACCCACTAGTAGGCTATCACATATCGCGCCTTCTGATGGCTACGCTACTAGTAGGCTATTAGTGCATGATAGCCTACTAATAGAAAATTCAAAATGGCGGAAAATTCGCGTTTTGCACTTTTGCCGAAGTGTCTGATGATTTTTTGGACGACTTGTGGAACAATTTTGTGGTAAAACCCCCCCGAAAAAAGCAACAAAAATTTTGTATGGCAATTTTTAAGGGTAAGAAAATAGACAAAATAACATACACTCAATGAAATTTTAAATTTAAAACTGAAATTTGTAAAACATTTTACGCGCGAACAAAAACTAAAATGTTTGTTTACCTTTAATGGTTTTATAATGTTTTTTTGTGTATTTTTGTATTGTGTTTGTAGCCTAGTTGTAAATTAATGATAAAGTTGATACTAAAACAATTAGACAACTCGGCCTCGTTGTCTATGAGCAAATAGTCAACTCGGCTTCGCCTCGTTGACTATTCGCTCATAGACAACTCGGCCTCGTTATCTAATTGTTAATTATGCATGCGCGGGAGAATTTCCATCCCTGGACCGTTTGTTAGTGCAACTCTCTACCAACTGAGGTATTATGTCAAGTCGCCAGTTAATATTACTATTCGACTGACTGATCAAGTTCCAAAATCTGTTTCTTGTAGACGAACCGTCGTAATCAAAGTACTAAATGTGGACATCAAATTTCAGAAACCCGTTAAAGGGACAGACCTTGATTGTAATTTATTTTATTCTTTTCCAACAAAAGTTGCTCGCGCTGATGAAGAGACACCAGTTGACGTTGCTCCCAAGATGGAGGATCAGCCAGAGACCGCTGACGTGGTGGCTGACGAAGAACGAACGGAGGCTGACACGGAAAACAGCGAAGTCGAGACTGAAAGCGACGAAGAAGAGGCGGAATTAGGTGATGCCCAAGAGGATGAAGAGGTCGAAGAAGATGAAGGTAGGCGTCTAATTCTAATATTGAGCACATGGTGGGGGAAAGAATGTTCATTGAGAAAAAATCTATTTTCTAGCTATGCGTATATCTTTACATCGATAACTTGAAATAACATTAGCGATACAACATGCATCAATATGGCCGTCATTGTCCATTTTTGGATGGCATATGCACTTTCATACATTTGACATATCAAGATTTCAGGGAATCGCACTTGCTGTATTACCGAAATCAGTAGAGCGTCTTTTTCGGAAGTTGAAAAGACAGTCAGAAGCCAGTAGAATGCAGCGTGGAACTTGTACGTTATTTTACTTATTAGTAACTTTATTTAGTTTGACAAATTGCCAATGGCTCGTCAGCGCAAAACAAGTTTTCGAGCAAAGGGTGAACATTTGTTCATGGGAAGACACTAGGAGAAGAAATGCAAACCAAATAAAGTTACTAATAAGCAAAATAACATACAAGTTCCACGCTGCATTTCTTCACCGTGAAGTCAAAAAACATGAAAGTTTCTACTGGCTTTTGACTGTCTTTTCAACTCCCGGAAAAGACACTCTACATATTTCGATAATAACCATTGTTGAACAATTGAAAAGTTTGAAGATTAGGTCATTCGAGCGACAAGCCTAAAAAAGGTTAACCGCAATAACCATGGGCTCACTTTAACTTAGTACAATATACATGAAATTGCCGTTAGAATCGAGAAGAGTCGACTATGTACTTCGCTTTGTCAGACTACCGCAGCAGAATAGCAGTGTTGCTGGCTCTTTCTGGCAGTGGGCCTATAATCTTGGTTAAGACTAAAGAAATTAATATAATTTAGCTACTGTACACCCGAAATTTCCTTCCACAAATGCTCCAACATATTATCCATGTATATTTAGATATACTTAATTAATTGGATTTTCGTTTCTTTCTATCAGACATCGCGCAAATAGGAGTTAATAGAACAGAAAAAGATAGATAATATAACTATGTATAGTTTGAATAAGTTCATATTTAGGAAATAACAAACCATTAAAAATATACTCCTTTCTTTAGACGAAACCAGTTATATCTCCGACGACGATCCCGAGAAACGAGGTCAGCCATTTCTCACAGTTATCACAGAATATTTCTAAATTTATATTCTTTGTTGAAATATTTATTGAAAGGGATATTGTGACCTCAGGTTGAGTTTAAAGTGCGCCAGATACTGTTTTTGTGCACAAAACTCTCAACTTTTAGCAGATCTAACATATATTTTTGGTGCTCTTTCATAAATCGTCCTAACTAAATTTTATTCCTGATTCAATTTTTCCATTTCGATCGACCTAAAATATTTAAGTTAAACTAGACGTAAACCGGGTCAGAGCAGCGGAACCAGTCAGTCAGTTCTATCTCTAATAACAAAACAATAGCTTTGCATTGAATAAGTCATATTCCATCCAACCACCTGTTCTCCTAACAACCTTGAATATGGTATTTCAAACCCTGCATGCAGTGTTTCTAAATTATTCTGCCTTGATAAAATCCTACTATAGCCTTTCTAAAGCTGTATTACGTTTACATGATCGTAAACACAGGGCCTGATTTCAATGCGTTCCAAACATGTCATCAAGGCTTGTTTTGCCATCGTCTCAGTTTCTAATCTCGGAACTTAATGGCATTTACGTAAGGCTTATTAAAGCTTTATGTTTATCAATTCTCTACAGTGTAGTTTAAATATTCAGGTTGGGTATGCAGACGATACAGGAAAGGTAAACATTGGTGTAAGGCTTGTGGATGTCGACGTGGATGTAAAGCCAAAGTGTGCTCTCGACGTGTCTGCAAACGAGTCAGATGTACTAGGAGAGTATGCCGTATCGTAATCAAATACAGGATCGTTAGATACAAATACCGCAACCCTTATTACAAAGGATATGGAAGTCTCTACTTGTGGAAGACCAAAAAGGTTCCATACAAAGTTCGTGTCTGCAAAAATGTGCGAAGTTTCTGCCCCAAATGTTACAACCAACGTTACAATTGTGGTCGTGTTTGCCGCCACATATGTAAATTCAGAAAGGTAAGCGTTATTATTTATTCTACATAGCACCATAATCCTACTATGGTTGGATATTTTTATATATGGACTCAGTAGTTCATTGTTTAGAGAAATACAACAGATTAATAAACACTTAAATCTAGCTATCTCCTATTCCACATAGTTGCCTCACCCTAGTATGTGTACGCACTCTAATGTCGTTGGCTCTTTCTATCTGGACTCAGAGAAATGCATCAAAATCTAAGTGTCAACAGTTCGATGCCATGTGTGTGTGTGTGTGTGTGTGTGTGTGTGTGTGTGTGTGTGTGTGTGTGTGT